CAGAAACCACAAAACACCGTGTAGACACCTTATTTTCCAGGCGTGAACCTGTTTTCAAAAACCATTAAGACAGAAGTATTTTCTTGGAGACTTTGTTTTCCATGCATCTGTATATAATGGTCTGTGTGAAGGGAGATTCCTTCCTCTTGGTGCAGCTTAATAGTAGTGTTTCTTGGTTTCTGATTCAACCATGGATGAAAGGACTCTACCGTCAGGTGCCACCTCTTCAATAATTGTCTTGATTACTCTTGTTTTGTTAGTATCTGTGTGAATGATGAACAAAAAAATTTAAACAGTCTGTAGGGGTCCTTAGTAATTAACAAGCAAATACTGTAAAAAGAAGGAAATTTCAACTTTACATTGTTAAGTCCAAAAAATGTTTTAAGGTACGACATTTTGATTATGCCATTTTTCAAGGTTGGTGTTAAGGGTAGTTTGTGAACAAATGCAAACGGAACCGTCTCTAATATTTTTAATTTTTTAAAACAGCTCTAGAGTTTAAAGCGCAAGAAAACCATCACAGGAAGTTAAAACTAATTCTGATTACCCCAGCTAGTTTCTGCTGACCTTGGTCCCTTAGATGAGGACTCGCCCACCGACCCGGAAGAGGATGACTTGTGTCCTCCGCTGGAGCTTCCGCCTCCGAAGCCACCGCCGGAACTGCCTCCGAAGCCGCCGCCGGAACTGCCCCCGAAGCCGCCGCCGGAACTACCGCCTGAGCTGCCGCCGCCGTGGCCGCCGCCGGAGCTACCGCCCCCGTGGCCGCCGCCGGAGCTGCCGCCGCCGTAACCCCCGCCGGAGCTGCCGCCGCCGTAGCCGCCCCCGGAGCTGCCGCCGCCGTAGCCGCCCCCGGAGCTGCCGCCGCCGTAGCCGCCGCCGCCGTAGCCGCTGCCGCGTCCGCCGCCTCCGGAACTAAAACGGGGTGAGGTCACAGTCAGTTATAACTAAAGTTGGAGAACGGTGGGTAGCTTTCCAGTTTGTCGTTAACTTAGAAAATAAGCAAAACATGTCTTGAGAAAATAAAACCCTGCCAGGTAGGTATATCTTTTAAAACCCATCCTTTGAAAACAGAATTCTTAAGAACCATTTTGGGCCAAATTCATGAGAAAGTGAGATTACGGTTGAGTACTCCTTTTACCGTCCCCTCTTCCCTTCCTCTCATTCTCTGGCATCTTCTTGGGGTTTAGAAAAGCCTTGCTATCTGGAATATTGATTAAAAGAAACTGGGTTAACTTTTCATTTTTAAATATACCTTCCCTCTCCTTCTAGCAGGCTGCGGTAGGTTTGAATTTCATTCTCCAGTCGGATCTTAATATCCAGGAGTTGTTGATATTCACTATTCTGGCACTCGGTTTCAGCTCGAATCTGTTGCAGCTGTTCTTCCAGAGCGGAGATCTGGGCCTGAATCTGTGATAGCTGCACGCAGTAGCGACCTTCTGTTTCTGCCAAGGAGGCTTCCAGGGATTGTTTCTGAAACAGATTTTTTTGTGTGTGGCTTAGCGACTTCCTTGCCATATATGAGTATAGTGACGCTTGTTTAATTATTTAATAAGGCATTATATAAAAGACTAAGAAAATGAACAGAATTTGTTTTATGTTCAATGGCACCATTTCGGTTTCAGCACTTTTAGATCAATTCGGGTCGTACTTTTCCTCCACTAACATAGACCTTAAGCCTGTTTTCTCTTTCTTACCCCCAACTCTGCATTTTTCTCTTGCATTGCATATTCTTAGGTGAGCATGAAACTTTGTATGATAAAGGTGAAGTCATTTCATGAGCGTTAACATACCAGGGCCAGTTGGGACTGTAGTTCTATCTCCAGACCTTGTACAGTACGTCTCAATTCAGTAATCTCAGTTTTATGGCTGGACATCTGTTCAATGTTACTATCAATTTCTGTAGTCAGTTCCTTGCTCTAGAATATTAAAAACAGGGAAAGAGATGAGAAAATTCTGAAATGATAAAACCTCCATGAGTTTTCCTGTAAAGGAAGATTAATTTACCTTTTCATTGAACCAGGCTTCAGCATCTTTGCGGTTTTGTTCAGCAAGTTGTTCATACTGGCTTCTCATGTTATTCAGAAGTTGAGTCAGATCAACACCTGGGGCAGCATTCATTTCCACATTCACATCACCAGTGGACACATTTCGAAGGTCTTTCATTTCCTGTTTGAGGAACGGAAAGATTTAATGGCGACACGGTGACTATAATGAACTCTCTTTTTGTCTGTGACAAGTATAACTTTTGTGTTACCTCCTCGTGGTTCTTCTTCAGATAGGCCAGCTCTTCAGTCAGGCTCTCAATCTGCATCTCCAGGTCAGCCTTGGTCAGGGTCAGCTCATCCAGCACCCTACGCAGGCCGTTGATGTCAGCCTCCACGCTCTGGCGCAGGGCTACCTCATTCTCATACCTGAAACAAGCATGATATCAATACTGGATATAACTTACATGGGGAGATGTATCTGTGCAGAGACTATTTAAAAAGCAAATACATAGTTAATCTCATGTCGTGGCAATACTTATCATGTACTAGTTCACTTAGGAGTAATAATGGTTTAATGGAAAGAAGCTTAGCAGTTACTTGAAAATGCATTTTCTTCCTTGCCAAAAAGGTAATACCGACATGGAAAATTTCTCAGATAACTCCAATACTATTTAACTTTGGGTGAATTCAGGAAAATGTAAATGCTATTGTGGGCATCCCAAGTCATTGTTAAAAACAACTGCTGTGTTTGTTGTGATGGTATTATACAATGATCACTTAACTTACTTCAGCCTGAAGTCATCAGCTGCCAGCCTGGCATTGTCGATCTGAAGCAGGATATTGGCATTATCAGTTGTTAGGTTGAGGATCTGGAGGGAGAGACACAGTTACTTAAGAAGAAGTCAGATGCAGATACGGCTTTTATAGTGGCATAGATATCTCTGCAGTTTTATGTTGTTCTCTTACAAAATCTTGGGGATTTAAAAAATTTTAAATATAAAATATTGCAGGCTTACCCTTATACCTAACTTCAAATTATTTCTTCTCTTGGAATTTCTTCACTCTTGTATTTCTGTATGTGAATTATCCCTTTCTGGAAACTAACTGGAATTATATAGCTGTATTCCTGCAAGTGTGCCCTCCTCTTTTAGACTATGTGATTTCCATGTATTTCAGCCACGCTCTGACTGACTCACACCTGTGTTTGTTTAACTCACTATAAATATAAATAAATATACTCTGAACTGGTACACAATATATAACAATTCAGAAATTCCTTAGAGGTAAGCAGTATCCCATTTTCACACTGGAAAATTCATGTTTCTTGCCATGTTGGTACTGAATATGGCTTGTTATCAGTCTGAATAACATTTTGTTCTGATTCATTTCATGATTGATTTTTCATTTTCTACATTTGTAAATGATCTAGCATATTTTAACTGTGGACTCATTGTATGCTCATTAAAACCTGAAAAATTCTTGGTAATCTGCCATTCACTATGATAAGCAGCATACATGCTGGATGAAGATTGCCATGACCATACTTTCACAGATCTTTATCTTTGATGAGACTGTGTTATTTTTGAAGTAAGGAAGTAACATAGGTAAACATAGTGAGCAGCCACATTGTGCTTAATATAAGATTCATCTGTCTGGATTACATGGATAAGATATTTGAAGCTGGATTTAAAAATACCACTTACCTGATTTTTAAGGTCATCGATAGTTTTGTAGTATTTGCTGTAGTCACGAGGCTCCCCTTGGCGTGAGTTGCCATGCTTTTCATACCATTCCTTGATTTTGCCTTCTAGCTCATAGTTTGATTCTTCCAGAGCCCGAACTTTGTCCAAGTAGGAAGCCAGGCGGTCATTCAGATTCTGCATAGTTACTTTTTCATTTCCAGAGAGAAGGCCACCATCTCCTCCAAATCCACCACCAAAGCCTCCTCCAAAGCCTCCTCCAAAGCCACCTCCACCAAAGCTGCCCCCACTGAAGCTGCCACCTCCAAAACTGCCTCCTCCATAACCCCCACCAAAGCTGCTACTTCCATAGCCTCCACCAAAGCTACTTCCACCAAAACCTCCCGATATTCCATAGCCACTTGATGAGCCCCCCAAGCAGCCTCCAGAGCTCCCACGGCTAAAAGAGCCACCACTGAACCCCCCTGAGCTAAATCCTCCACCAAGGGAGCCTTTGCTGCTCGAAATTCTGAAGGATGAGCCGCCACCTCCTCCTCCTCCTCCTCCTCCTCCCTGGGTATGGGAAGAGTAGTGCTTGCTTGAGCTGTATCGAACAGACATGGTGATGCTGTTTAGCCAAGGGAGTGCCTGCTACCAAGGACAGTGACAAGCCTTTATATCTTGAGAGGGTGTGTTACACATGTGTTAGAGTTTGCTTACTTGCATGGTTTTCTTTTTGCCAACTTAGCATCTTTGGCTTATGATTGCATAAATTATCTTCAGTAATAACCAATCCCAATATGTACAATTTTGAATTTGCCCTAAGAATAAACAGGAGGTTTGCTGTGTTGAAACTGAAAATGGGTGGAGATCAGATGAGCATGTTTTATTATGCTTTTCACCTGTTGAAGAACATTGAGCAACTGTTAAGATCCATTTTTCTCAGCACTGACTCAGGTTACATAGAATGTTTGCAAAGCTTGGAAAAAGAAAGAGTTTTGGCTACAAAATTATAGTTGAAATAAGATTTTTCAAATTCATGTTTTAAACAGTTTTAATTGGAACAACAAATATCATAAAGTCTGCCAGGATCATGCGATAAAATAAGGATCTATCCAAGCACTTTGGGAGGCCGAGGTGGGTGGATCATGAGGTCAAGAGATCGAGACCATCCTGGCCAACATGGTGAAACCCCGTCTCTACTAAAAAATACAAAAATTAGCTGGGTGTGGTGGCGCGTGCCTGTAGTCCCAGCTACTGGGGAGGCTGAGGCAGGAGAATTGCTTGAACCCGGGAGGCGGAGGTTGCAGTGAGCCGAGATTGCACCACTGCACTCCAGCCTGGCACCTGGCGACAAAGCAACACTCTGTCTCCAAAAAAAAAAAAAAAGGATCTTGTAGACAACTGTAGAGCATGAAAAAGAAAAAAATTCTAAAAATTTAACTAGCCTTAATAGTTGCCACACATAAAACATTAAAGCCATAAAACCACAATTTAGGAGATTGTGTTTTTAGGGGATCTTTTACTTTATTTGACAAATGAGAGTATATTGATATTTTGCTTAAGAAAGTGGAAATAATGATTATAGAATTTTTAAATTAATGATGGCATTATTTTTAACATTAAAAAAAATCTGAAATCACGAAGTTATCCTGGATTATTTTGCACTTTTAAACTCATAAAGTTTCTATGAAGACCATAATAATGCAGAAAATCTGCATAATTTTCTTAGCACAGAATCTGAAGAACTAACTTGTAGTACTTTATACTAAATTCTGTTAGAGTGAAAGAGGAGAATTTGTATATGTTAGTATTGTAAGTAAAAATATGCTTGCAAAAATGTAAATCTGTATTAGAGAATGATACTTGCACCAAAAATTATGAGCTAGACTGTGCACCTGTGTTCCCAAGCTAGGTTCAGTTTCTCAACAAAAACAACACATTTTCTTGGATATACTGTGTACAGAATTTGGTATAACAGTTTGTCTAGTGAAGTAAATTGGGATTTGGTACATTGTATAAGATTATGTCTACCCATAGGCTATGGCATTGCTGTTGTTTGGATGTATATATGTATGCATACATGTTTTACAATTATGTAGTGCTGTTTGTGATACTGTGATTTTAAAATTTCTAGAATCAACTGTTGAGATAGGAATGGTGGTTATTATAGAGGTTATCATTTTTTCCTGAAGACATATAACAGGTGGTTGAACTGCAATTAGAAGCTTGGTCTTTTAACTCCTTGGTTCTTTCCTACTGTACCAATGCGTACATATATTATCTGTTCTGGTGGATTTGGTTTAATGGAACTGAATGACTCTAATTCTTACCATAAACTTCTCTAAATGGAGAAAAAAACAAAACAGAAAGGACTTGGAATCATGAAAATATTGAAAGGCTCTTCTTTTAGTAATTGTTTTTCAAATTAAATTTATACCTGCACATTTTAGTTTATGAAAACCACATAAATGGTTTTTGCAGGAAAGGGGAATGTGGTTGGGAGCATTAATCAAATGTTAATTATTAAAGTGGAGGTTATTATCCAGCAAATCCCAACTCTTCCAACTTGTTAGCACATGCAAGTGGGGCAGTAGTTAAAAGAAAAAAATGAAACTCAACCATGGGAATTGATTCTTGATGAAGATAACATACAGTTAAATAAGGCTATGATAAATGAGGGTAGAAAAAGAAAAAAAGATTCCAGTAACTTTAGAGAGGTATTAATGAAAGCTTTTTGCAAAGAAACATTTTAATTAAATTTTTATTGATTTTACCTATCCTTAGCACAAGTTTTAGATCTTAATATTACCAATTTTGTTTTAGTATTAGCCTATAATTCCTCCAGTGGAAAATTTAAAAATCTTAATCCCATTTCAGTTAGTTAACAAGCGGTATGAAGAGTTCTCTGTTACAATCATACTAAACCAAAGAATATGTGAAAGGAAATCTTTACATAAAAGTACAGGAGAACAAATACATGTATGGAGGGTCTTCTAATACTGTAACGTTTAATTTAAGCTACCTTTACTATTATTACCAAAGATTGTTTATTAGCTTGTATACTGTAGAAATTGATTTGTCTTTATTCATGCTGTCATTTGTTGAAATCAGCCTTTGGCATGAGGTAAAATTAAGAGGTGCCACATAATAATTCTACAGCTAAATTAGATGTACATTTATGATTCTAGTCTTGGCACCGTTTACACTTGATTGCGATAATCCACTGCAACTGTAATTTTATTGTGCTCGATTTTTATTGTGTCTCTGTGTAAAGTGCATTGGTAGGTAGTTAAAAGATAGAAAAATGAATGAGATACAGCTCCTGTCCTTAAAGATCTTGCCAGTAGTTACAATCTAATTGAGGAGACATAACATGTACCATCAGCTTAAGTGCTATGTGCTATGTAAATGAAAATGATGGTGGGGCTTGGATGTGTGGGGATAAGAAGTTAACATTTATTGAACATCTGCTATGATCTGGATGGTTTTCTTTAATTCTCCCCCAGATTCTCTAAGATAGGCATTATTTAATAGCTGAAAAACCTAAGCCTTTAAAAGTTTTAGGAATTTGCCAGAGTATATATGTATATATTTATCTATCAGCAGTATCTGTGTGCTGACATATAGCCTGGTTTTGAATCACAAGAGATACAGTTACAAAGATGTTAGTTTTCCTGACACCAGACTGGCACTCTTAAGACTAATGAGCAAGGAATCATGTTGGAATGGGGCCACCTGACAAAGTTTCATGGTGGAGTTGAAATTTAAGCTGAGTCTTGTAAGGATGGGTAGGATTTTTCATGTGTGCAGTAGCAGAGAGTATACTGTTCTGGGAAGTCAGGACTGTGAAAATGCCAAGCAGGTGGAGACACTGAATGACCAGTTTGGCTGGAGTAGATCATCTATATATATTAATTTATTCATGCCTTCAGCAGGTTTTATTGAGCACCTACAATATGACTTGGGGAATGCATAGGTGACCAAGGTATAGTTCCTGCCCGTCAAGGAGTTTATAGTCTACTTGGAGAGGCAAACAAACATACCCACAGATCAGAGATTCTAATATATGGTAATCTGGGCTGCAGTTGAGCAATGTTCAGGGTTCCGAGGGATTGCAGAGAGGGGTTCTAACAGTCTGGTGAGTGAGTAAGTGTGTGTGTGTGTGTGTGTGTGTGTGTGTGTGTGTGTGGGTGTGGTGTGAGTGCACAATGAAAGAATAGTTGAAGTAAAGTTTGGGATTGAAGATGAGTTTGGTTTAAGATGTGAATTTGAGGTAATACCAGGATATTCATGAAACATTCTTTTTTTTTTATTGCACTTTAGATTCTGGGGTACATGTGCAGAACATGCAGGATTGTTGCATAGGTACATACACGGCAATGTGGTTTACTGCCTCTATCCCAGTCACCTATATCTGGCATTTCTTTAAGCAATTATGGGACTGCAATTAAGGAGAGGGTTCAGAATAGCAGACTTTCTGAACTCTCTCAGAAAGGGGGTAGTTAGGATCCCTAAGGGAAGGAATTTAGAGACAAATGTACAGAAGGTCTAATTCTGAACTTTTGGAGTCACTTTAGGGGCTGGGAAGAAGTAGAGCTAGAAAATAATCCTGAGAAGAAGGACATCTAAGACCAGGGAACGGGGGAAAGATGATGGTTGAAGCCAAGGGAGAAGAGAACACGGGTGTGGTGATCACCTGAGAGGCCAACAAAAAGGTGAATTGAGGAAAGCAATTTGGAACCATTGGCATCCTTCCAGAGGACAGTTTTAATTGAGTAGTGGTGAGGTAATTCATGAGGTATATGCAATATTGGAATGGATGACTTTGCTTGTGGTATTTTTTTTTTTCATGTTGTCCAGTTTATCAGTTTCTTCTTTAATAGCATCTGAACTTTGAGTCATGGTACAAGTGCTTTTCGCATGGGGTTGTTTTGGCTGGAGCTCTGGAAGCGTGTTGTGGATTCAGGTTTGTCACCAGCTTGACTTGTCTCACTGTTGGGATTGTGATCCTTTTTATTATTTTGCTTCAAGTAAAATCATCTTTTGAAGTTTCTAGCTGAAGATTCTATTTGCAAGTTTCTTTTTCTGACTGAGCAATTGAGATATACATAATTTAAGTAGTTGCAGAAGGACAAATCTAGTAATGCAGGTTATATCTCAAGATGGCAAGGTTGATCCAAATATTTAGATTTTTCTATTATTTATCACGTGAAGTTTGAGAGTCAGGCATTTTCTTTTTGACTGTTCTGTGACTGTGCAAATTGCATAATGCGCTTTTGTGGTTACTACCTGTAGAGTCGAAGCAAAGTAGAAAATTGTGTCATTATTTGATAGATTTGGTACCCTCTTCTCAGGTAGCTGAGTAATTAGAACTAAGGTATCAACTGATAAAGTTTTGTGTCTTCTCATTGGCTAACTTCTAAAATTCAGGCATCTTAAACCTACAGACACTCCTGTATCACGTGATTTTTCGGAAACTACTGTGATGGAAACCACAAAAATATGGAAACTACTTGAAGGCTTTTGGGAATAGTGTAGCAGAGTAAGAGGGTGGGTCTTGGGGTCAGACTTCTGGGGTTGCAATCCAGGCTCCACCACTGACTGTGAGGTTTCATCTTAATTTCCTCTTCTGTAAAGTAGGGATTATAATTTTTCTTACACTGTGGAGTTGTAGTAGGAGTCTAATGAGTTAATAAATATAAAGCATTTAGAACAATGATTTGCATACATAGAATAAAATGAATATATTTTTGTTGTTTTACTGTTTTGTGATCTCTGTTTCTCATAGGCTAACCCACTGTCCAACCCTCAGGATGCTTTCAGAATAGGAAGGAATGAAAGGATAGGGTGAGAAGTTGGAAAAAGAAAGTGGCTGGAAAGGAAAGTAGGGTAGGGAAAAGGTGTTCAGTTTGATAACTTTGTTAGATGTTTTTCTTTGAGTGACACTTCCTTTCACTTTAAACTTCTTACTTTATCTCCTACATCCACCAAGGCACTAATTTTGTCACCTTTTCTTTGTCATGGCTGAGGTATTTGTTTCTTTCTGTGTAGCCCCACTGCAACTGTCCTAATCTGAATTTTCACCTTCTCACGAAGATTCCTTCACAGCTTCTGAAGTGGTTTTCTTGACTCAGCACTGTCAATTAAGATCTGTTCACTGCAGCAAGACTGATGTTCTTGAAACAGTATTGTCATCACTTCATCAACATACTGAGACCTCTTGTGGATGGATTAAGTCTTTTCCAAAGCCTTGTCCTACTCTGTCTGTCCAACCTCATGCTGCCTCCGGTGAGTCAGGGTGGGGTGTGGAAGGAATGCTGCATTCTGTTCATAAAGTAATTATGTGGCCCTGGGCAAGACACTCAGCTTTCTGTGTCTCAGTTTACTACCCTGTAAAATGTGGATAGTAATATGAAATATTAAAATATGGATAATGATAATCATGATTCAGTGAAAAAATGTGTGTTAGCATCTCCTTTAAAAATCCTTTGATTACTTAATCTGTTAAGCAGGTCTTTCTTCTTACTCTTGGGTGAGATACTATGCCTTGTTCCATTTTAAGGTCTGTGTTTGTTGCTCTTGGCTTAGAATGCCTGTCTTCTACTTTACTGCTTATTCAAGTTATTCTATCTCAACTCCAGACTCTGACTTAAATGCCATCTCCTTCACGAGACTTCTTACCATTAGTCTGTGGTTCATGGCTGTCCCTTTCTTCTCATTTCCTATGTTGAACAACCTGTGTTTTGTAACTTGTTATAATATTCTGAGCTCCTTATTAGTGTTCCCAATGCGATATGACGTTTAAGCTCCTTTAGGGAAGGGAGCGTGCCTGTGCTCTTGCTGCACCCAGTGCTCATTGTTCTCTGAATGTTTTCTTATTGCCTCAGTGCCTTTCCCCACTTTCTTTGCCTTTGTTTTTCCCTCTAAACTCTTGGCCTGTATGTTTTGGCAATAGGGCAAGTTAAAAATTTAAATAAAGGCTGGTTAAAGGCAACTAAGTTAATTTTGCTTTAAAGGAAATAATGATACCTTTTGATATAAGAATGTGTAAGAATAATAAGAAAGCCAAGATTCTGCATAGGAATTTTAAAATCTCTTAAAGTATATAAAGATGTATTCCTTAGAATGGAAATATACTATATACATATATATATTAAGAAAACATCACTTTTTTTTTTGTCTTGGATCTATTGAGATTATCTTGATACTAGTAACCTGCTAAAATACATCTGTAGTTTTATACTAAAATTGGAATTTTTTTCATGCATCACATCAAATTAAGAAGCTTCTGCACAGCAAAGGAAACAATCAACAAAGTAAAGAGACAACTCACAGAATTAGAGAAAATAGTTGCAAACTACCTATCTGACAAAGGATTAATAACCAGAATATATAAGGAGCTCAGACAACTCAATAGGAAAAAAAATCTAATAATGTGATTTTAAAATGGGCAAAAGATCTGACTAGATATTCAGATCTCAAAAGAAGACATACAGGCTAGGCATGGTGGCTCACACCTCTAATCCCAGCACTTTGGGAGGCTGGGGCAGGAGGACTACTTGAGTCCAGGAATTCAAGACCAGGCTGGGTGACATAGGGAGACCCCATCTCTACAAAAAATAAAAATAAATTAGCTGGGTGTGATGGCATGTGTCTGTAATCCCAGCTACTTGGGAGGCTGAGGTGAGCCATGCTCATGCCACTGCACTCCAACCTGGGTAACAGAGTGATCTCAAAAAAAAAAAAACAAGCAAAAACAAAAAACATATAATGGCAAACAGGTATATAAAAAAAGGGTCAGCATCATATATCATCAGAGAAATGACTCAAATTCTTATTGCAATTGAATATAATTAAATTATTAGAGTCACAATAATTCGTTGTACATCTTACCCCCAGTTAGAATAGCTTTTATCTAAAAGAAAGGCAATAATGGATGCTGGTGAGGATGTGGAGAAAAGGGAACCCCCTCGTACACTGTTGTTAGGAATGTAAATTAGTATAGCTACTATGAGAACAGTATGAAGGTTCCTCAAAAAGCTAAAAGTAGAACTACTGTGTGATCCAGCAGTCCCACTGCTAGATATATACCCAAAAGCATGGAAATCAATATATCAATGAGATATCTGCACCTCATATTTTTTTGTAATACTATTCACAATAGCCAAGATTTGGAAACAACCTAAGTATCCATCAATAGATGGACTGATAAAGAAAATATGGTACATATACACAATGGAGTACTATTCAGCCATAAAAAAGAATGAGATCCTGTTATTTGCAACAACTTGGCTGGACTTGGAGGACATTATGTTAAGTGCAATAAGCCAGGCACAGAAAGATAAACTTCTCATATTCTCACTTACTTGTGGGAGCTAAAAATGAAAACAATTGTACTCATAGATGATAAAGAGTAAAATAATGGTTACCAGAGGCTGGGAATGGTAGTGTGGGATGAGGGGGCAGGGAAGTGGGGATGGTTAAGGGGTACAAAAATATAATTAGATAGAACAAATACAATCTAGTGTTTGATAGCACAACAGGGTGATTATGGTCACCATTATTTATTGTACATTTTAAATTAAAAGAATATTATTGGAATGTTTGTAATACAAAGAAATGATAAATACTGAGGTGATGGGTACCCCATTTACCTGGGTGTGATTATTATGCATTGTTGCTTGTATTGAAATATCTCATATTCCCCCTGAATAATACAGTTAGTATGGATCCATAAAAAATTAAAAATTTTGAATTTTTTTATATTAGGAGAATTGACAATTCTAGTTGGTTTTCTGGCTAGCTAGCCTATGAGTATGTTGTAATCTAAGGATTAAAGATAACATGATTTAGCTTTTAAATTTCATCAGTATGTCATAGATTTCTTTTCAGGCAAATAACTTCATTCTGTAAAGACAGTTGCTCACTATGAGTTGGCTGCATTAGGAGGATAATTAGTTAATAGAACATAAAATAGAAACATAATATTCCTTTTAGTTTTAATAAAAAATAGTAAAGCTGAAAGTACCAAACAAACAGATCCCAATTTTAAAATATTGAAACTGAACATTGTCCAAAATTCTGTGGCTGTTTTCTCCCCCTTATAAATCTAAGAAAATTCCTTTAGGTCCAGTTGTGGTGGTTTATCCAACTGGTAATTTCAAGGATGACTGGATATGAGAGAAAATAACTTTATTATTGGGTAAAGCTTCTTAATTTTTGGTTAGAGAGTCTGGACAGACCTAAATAGAGTAGAGAAAGTTTTAGGCTAGAGGTGGTACATACAGAGGTTAATATTTACAGTGAAAGCAGTAATCCCCCACTCTAGTGATTTTAAGTATATGTAATGTGCTTAAATTTAAAGGAAAAAGTCTTAGGGAGTCAAATTAATTTCCTAATTTTAAAGGTTTTTAAAAAATACTTGACCTTATAAAAACAAACAAGTCAGCTTCATAATAAATGGCCATCCGTCTTTGAATCACTCTTTTTTTCTTTTTCTTTTTGGTAAGAGGGTTGTAAGAATGGTAGGGGAATAGATTTAAATAATTATTTAAATGTAACACACAGTAGTAACCGAGAAAATTTACCATACTATTCTGTGGCGTCTTTCACAAGGCTGACTATTGATAATGCCCAAAGAACTTTTGATTCCTTGTATTAGATCCATTAAGCAAATATGCAAATAACATTTGCAAAGTCAGTCCTAAGATAATTAGAGTTTATTGAGCTTATTGAGACTTCTTTTATGTTCCAGGGCCTGTTCTCAACTTTACTCACATTTTTGTCTCATCAAATCCTGTTGGCAACTTTATGAGGGAAATTTTATTTTAACTAAGAAATTAGTTGGCCAGGCGCAGTGGCTCAATAACTGTAGTTCCATCACTTTGGGAAGCCCAGGCAGAAGGGTTGCATGAGCTGCTGAGCAACATGGTGAAACCCTGTCTCTACAAAAAATACAAAAAAAAAAAAAAAAAAAAAAATTTTAGCCCACTGTGCTGGCACGTGCCTGTGGGCCAAGCTACTCAAGAGGGTGAGGTGGGAGGATCACCTGAGCCGGAAAGGTCAAGGCTGCATTGAGCTGCGATTGCACCAGTGCACACCAGCCTGAGTGACAGAGTGAGACCCTGTTTCCCACAAATCCCCCTAAAAGAAAAGAAATTAGTTAAAATTTAGCATGCCTGAAACTGTTCAATAAAGGGACTTTGGTGGGATTTGAACACAGACCCATCTTCAGAGCTTTTAAAAAACATAATGAGTAACTATTTTTTCTTTTTTAAGCACACTGTTGTTGACTTAAACAATGAATAACTCCTAAAACTCTTTTGAAATGACCTAAAATTGCATTTTCCAGTTATATGACTGAGAAAATTAACAAGAACATAAGGGATTTTAGTTTCTTTTTCAGATGAGACAAGCCTTCCTTATCATTGCTTTTGTTATGAAAAAATAGACTACTTTGAAAAGAAAAAGAACTAATGAGGCAAGATATCCTGCCCTGGAGGAGATCAGACTTGTAGGCCCTGTCTGTTCCCAGGCTGGACTCTGCCCTATCTTCTTGGGGGTCCCACTGGCTTGGGTTTATGGAGGTTCCTAACTCTTTGGCAGACTAGTCATTAAAATAACAAATCATAGCAATTAGCCACTGTGCATAATTGAAGCATTAATCCTTTTATAATGCTGGCTTTTTCAGATGGAGCTAACACCCATTATGGAGATTAACCACTTTTCATCAAGGTTTTAAGTCTTGAGGACTACAGTGGTGAATACAAGGTGTGTATCTGAATTAATTCAGTAGTAAGCTATGACATGGAGGGGTTCTGTTGCTTTGAAAGTTTCCAACTTGTATACATTCAAAAGCTATTAAACTTTTTGGTGTCTCTCCAAATATTTTGCATATTGACAATTTTGGTTGAAACGTAGAGCTAGAATTTTCTAGTCTAAAGCTTGGATATAAATGGGTGCATATTTACAGAGCTATCAGATGTTACATTATTTTTGTTTCTTGGCATCTGGAATATAAATACTAAATTTGGTCTAGTTAGAATTTCCTGCCTCCCTCCCTCCCCTGCTTCCTTCCTTCCCAAAACTCTCCAAGGATGAAGACCCCACAAGCTATATTGGGGTAATTGTATTCTAACAGTAGTTACTTTCAGTTTCCATCAAAATAGATTAAAAAGACAAGCATCACATGTTCTCATACATATGTGGGAGCTAAAAAATCGATCTCATCGAGATAGAGTGTATTTTAATGGTTACCAGAGAGGCTAGGAGGATAGTAGGGAGGTGGGGGATAGGGAATGGGGGATAGTGAGGGGCTGGTCTATGGGTACAAAATTACAGTTAGAAGGAATAAGATCTAGTGTTCAGTAGTACAGCAGAGTGACTATAGTTAATAGTAATTCACTGTATATTTTAAATAACTAGAAGAGTGAAATTAGAATGTTCCTAACACAAAGAAATCAGTGTTTGAGGTGATGGATAGATATCTTCATTACCCTGATTTGATCATTACACATCTTATGCTTGTATCAAAATATCACATGTACCCCGTATATATGTATAACTATCATGTATCCATAAAATTAAAAAAAAAATGAAAAGAAAAAAGGAATGGAAAACAAAAGTAAAAAGATGATTCATCAAATATTGCAATGTAGAAAAATAGTGCAAAATAGCATAAACTAGTACCACATAGAACTGAATTTGTAATTTTAAAGAAGCCATTGTAAGTATATTTACTCTTGGTATTGTGTCTTTCCCTCTTACCCTAATTTACTATTTCTCTATAGTTTAAAATTAAAGAGTTGCTTTTAAATTTTATAGGGCAAACATTATACTGTGGAGACACAAAATGTTTTGAGGTATCTGTGACCAGGCATGTCACGTGTGAATATACCACTGGACTTCAAAGCAACACATTGTAACTTATTTTTTTCATTTTACAACAGATTCATTTTATTTTCATCACCATGGGGCGTACCCTGTTGTTGAGTTCTCTGGGTCACACCTCTGGAGATTTCTCAGATGCATCCTATGTCTCTGGGCTTGCTCTTCTGAAATTACTCGCTACTCCGGGAGATGGTTGAGATGGTTGCGTCCCATTACTTTGTTGCTCCAGCTGCAGCTCTTCTGATGGAGTTCCTTGTTCAGCTGGTTGACGTGCTCTCTTCCTCCGGTGTTGTTAAAGCCTTAGATTTTTGTGGAGCATTTTTCTTCCTGGCTCTCCCTCGAGTTGCTTTTCTTTTCTTCGCCACCTTGGGATTCTTCTTCGCTACCTTGGGACTCTTCTTCGTGCTACTGGACGTCGTTTGAGAGGAGGACTCTTCTTCCTTGTCCCCTTGGTGTTGGTTAGTGATTGCTCTTCGACTGCTGGACCGGAGGCTCTCAGTTTTCTGTTCATCTTCAGCAAGTCAGTGTCTCTCAAGGGGCTCACGTTGCAGCATCTTACCAGAGGCCACTGGGCCTGGAGCTCCAGTTCCAGTGTCTGGAGAGTCCAGTTCAGCTCAGCAATCTCATGCCTGCTGGCACTTATCAGCAGAAGCCGATGCCTGCCCATCAGTTCTCTACTCTGAGGTGTTAGAGTGGAAGAAAAATAAATATAAATACCTATACTAGTTTTCATGAGCTCTGCTTAATATTGGGTGGTTTTTTTTTTTTTTTGGTGGTGATAGGTTTACCTTTCATTAAACCAGGCCTTAGCCTTTCTGTGGCTTTGCTCTTGCAAAGCCTCATATTACCCTCTCGTCTGGTTCAGCAGGACAGCCAAGGTCTACACCTGAGGCTGTTTGTTTTCTACATTTACCTCAACATAAGATACCTTATTATTGTCATCCGTCATCTCCTGATCCAAAGTAAAATAAAATGCCACAGGTTACTTGATCTTGCATCTGGAAGATGATTATTTAAAGAAATTAAACATTTAAAACTGAAAATATAGTTTAGAAATATTTTTTAATGTTTTAAAAAAATTATAGGAGACAATATTGTTACTAGATTTAATAAAATACAGAATGCCGATTAAATTTGAATTTCAAATAAACATTGACTACTTAATTTTGGTATAACTATTCCACGCAATATTTGGGACATATTTGTTATATTACTCATTGTTTACCTGAAATTATAATTTAAATGGAGAGTCCTGTATTTTATCTGGCAACCCTATTATAAAAATATTTAGGATAAATATAAAGAAATAATATTTTAAATTTTTACAAAATATTTTAATGCAAGTAATTTATTTGATTTTCACTGTCACCCTGAGGGGTACGTTTTGCCTTACAGTCTGTGTTACTTTACCTGTGTTTTATGAAAATAATGTCTCTTATAATGATAGCCACCACCACCACATCTTTACAAGTATTGACATACTGAAACTTTACATTCATTTTGTGTAGTTCCCACCTCTTCATGATTGTTTCTGAGGTAATTCAACTCCTCCATCTCCATTTGCAAGTCTAGGTTAGTCTTGTTCAAAGTCAACTCATCCAAGACACTTTGTGGGCCCTTGCTATCAGTCTCAACACGCTGATAAAGGACACTTTACTCTGGTGTCTGAACAGAGCCCTGTTAGAAGAATCAATACAGCTTAGATGGAGGTGTCCTCAGCCAGTGGTAATAGGACATCTCATATACTGGAGCTTATAGAGCACAGCACTGGGGTGTAAAGACATGGGTTCAGTTTGCACCTCTGCCATGTTCAGCTGTCAGTTTGGCAAATTACTTCTCTGAACCTTGGTTTTCTCATCATAAAAATGGGAATATTACAGGTTTTTTTTTTTGAGACCAAGCCTCACTCTTTCACCTAGCTAGAGTACAGTGGCATGATCTTGGCTCACTGCAATCTCTGCCTCCCAGGTTCAAGTGATCCTCCCACCTCAGCCTCCCAAGTAGCTAGGATTACAAGTGTGCCCCCACCATGCCTGGCTAATTTTTGTATTTTTAATAGAGATGGGGTTTTACCATGTTTGTCAGGCTGGTCTCGAACTCCTGACCCCAAGTGATCCACCTGCCCCAGCCTCCCAAAGTGTTGAGATTACAAGCGTGAGCCACCACGCCCAGCCAAAATGGGAATATTGTGAGAATTAAGTGAGTTAATGTACAAAAGTACTTAGCACAGCATCAATGTTCAGTAAATGGTAGGAATAACTTTATTACCACCATGAAAGAGTGAAAATCTCTCCCCTGCCCTTTGACGAGGAAAGGAAGCAAGTACCTTTTCAAGTACAGGGGAATGCACCTTTGTTTTATGAGGGCTGTGTCTCCCTAGTTAAAAAAAAAATTCAAGTACAGTATGGGGGACCTCCTGCAGTTCTATAAAAATCGAGTCTCTGACCTATGGATTGGAGAGTCATACACCATACATGAGGTTTTAAATTGCTAGCCTGGGAGTTTTCAGATTGCTAGCCTATGGCTACTCCACCCTGAGCCAGGACCCAGCCTACCCTCAACACCATAAAAGCCACCAGATGGCCGCTACCACGGCCCTCTGTGCTGTCTTCAGCCCCCTACAATGACATAGCTTCTCCCTGAGGCTTAACAGACCCATGGCCACTGTCAGTGCCGCTGTGCTGCCACAACCCAGAGGAACAAGCCATTGTGTGGAGGTGTAGCAGAGATCGAGAGTTAATGTTTAGCCGCAAAGTCAGTGCACTATGGGGGCCATTGTAAAGCCTGTCTCTCTCTCTATCTGTTTATCATCTATCTATTGTTACATAATCTTTAATGAACAATTTTTTTGAAGTATAGGTCTCTTTGGTTAACAATCTTCTCACCTCTTAGTGATTGATGAGCCATATATGCTCAAGTGCTATTTCATCAGGTTGTTAGGGACATATAAGAAAACTGTGTGAGCAAGAAAAACAGAGAAGACCACCATTTCATGACTGTCTTTTGAATTATGATGAGAGACTATTTTGAAACAGTGCAGGCATTCCTCTAATGGAGATCCTTTCTTTCATTCTGACCCTATAGTCTAAACATTCTCATGCTCTTGCTCAGTTTGCATCTATTTTTCCATGAAACCTTCCAAGCTTACCTCAGGGCCCTTTCCAAGGAGTCTGAGTAGTGCATACTGCTGTAGAGTTAAATAGATCTTTGAGTCCTAGCTTATTGTTTCTCAGCTTGGACAAAGTTACTTATCTTCTCTGAATCTCAGTTTTTTCATCTGTACAAACTACAAAAGAATTTGGAGTATTAGTGAGAAACAAGTAATAGCATCTGGCACAAACTAGGCTCTCAGTGAATGCTTGTTCCCTCCTTTCTTCTCTTCCTGGTCCCCACTCTAGCCCAAAGCAGTCTCTAAAACTCATAGCCCTAATTATATCACACAGTCATTCAAGAAATATTTATTGAATACCCAGTATGTACCAGGAAGTCTTATGGGACTATTATGAGCCCTGGTTTTATTCAGTTGTCATACATGTGTCTTGATCAAGGTCCCTCCAAAACTCAGTGTCTGAGCACTGATTCTAGATATCTGTGCGTACCGTAAACTGGACAGAGTTGCCTTGGTACAAAATTAAGAAGTTGGCAGAGTTTTCCATTTGTGTCTATACCTTCTTCCCTTTTTCTTTTCTAGGTTGAAATCTCAGTCTGCACTTCATCTGAAGCCATGGGCTTTCTTGTGCTTTAACTCATTTTTTCTGCCTAGGGAAAGACATGATATTGTTCATTTACACTGTAGAAACATAGTAGTATTTGCTGTATGTCATTCAGGAACCTGGACATTTGAATTCTGAGCTTTTCCTTTAATTATGAAATGAAAGATTGTTTCTTGTGATAGAAATTTCAGTTCTTGGTGAGGAGGAGAGACTTTATTTTTGGGCAGAAATCTGCTGAAATTGCACTTTGCCCACTTAAAAGACCGGCCTTAAACAAAAGCATGATTTTGTCTTTTTAGAATACACGTGGGGGAGTAGACTGAAGAGAAGGTGCACGTTTCTCTCTTTTACCCCTCCTTACTCTGTACACAGATGTCTTCCAGCTCCTTTGCCCACGTCTGAGCTCTGTTTGTGGAGTTCCTTCTGAATTTCTGAAAGTTACCTCTTCTTCAGACTTCCTTCTGTGACTTATTCCTTTCTTATTTCCCAGTCTCTCCTAAGAATCCAAAATGTCTGCAAGTGGAAGCTCTGTGCCAGCTCATTCCCTTTGCCATGATCTCCATCTCCTCCACTGCACCCTGTCCCCACAGGAAAGAGATTGTTCTGTCTTCTCTGTGTCAGCCTCCTATGGCCCTAAAGACCCATGATTTTGTTACACTTAGGTGCACAGGATGGAGAGGAGGACAGTTACACATGATTAAAGAATCCCTCAGAGAATGAGGGGAGAAGAGCATGGAAAGATAGTGGAGTCTCAGCTTTCATCAGGGTTTCAAGAGGAGACACTGATTATTGGGAAGTTAGATTCAGGGCAGTTTTCTTTTTAGTATTGGTGTGTGTATTTCTATAGCAGAGAGGAAGAAGAGAATTAAACTTGGCATGTATCAGGAAAATCTGCCAACAAGAACATGAATACAGGTACTTGAGAACTAATAAAATGAGAAAAGAGAAACTAGATATTGCAAACATGTAGTAGCAATAATCTAATTCAACATCATGTATTGAGTGCTGACCCTATAAAGCTGTTTGCCCTTCCATATCCTCTTTCCACCTTTCTCCATTCTGCTCTCTGCACCAGGAAGATAACCTTGCCCTCTGGCTTTCATTATGTTTGCCCAGTGGGGACCCCAGTGGAGGGAGGGAGGAGAATGAGTTTGGGGAATTTATTCCCCTCGCCACCTCTGCAGCTTGGTTGGATCCTTTTATTGAACACCACAGCTTTTGTTGAGATGGCCCTTTCTGTGACTTTACCTTTCTAGTTACCTTTTTTTCTTCTTTAGGCATGGGGGTGACACTAGCTACCCCTGATGGTTTTCCTACACCAAACCCACACCTTTATCAATAGTTCTTTTCTTAAATTTGCCTTGACTCATCCTAATTTGAGTGTGCCAGTTCTTTCCTGCATGGACCCTACTACATGATAGGTCTTGTATAGAGTCTTTACTCTCAAGGAGGTTAATAGGAAAATGAATAATTGCAACACCATGAAATAAGGGTTAATACTTTCTTATCAAAGTGTAGGATCCAGACCACACATTATTCACATTTCTTTCTTAAGACTTGGCATAGTGCCAGGTACAGAGCAGGTGCCGACCAATGTGGAAAGGTAGAGGTGTGCATACCGGGTGGGGACACATGAAGGATGGAGTTGAGAAACTGTTCCAGGAAGGCCCAGGTGGCTTCATAGTTTAATTACATTGGTTAGAAACAGACTGTTTGCACTAAACAAGAAGAGAATTTACTAGAAGGATATCATTGGCTTCTAGAATCAATGGAAGGTAGGATATAAGAATTGGAGGACAAGGAGAAGCTGAGGTGCTTTGGAGGGCTAGTTTACACAAACCACAGCAAAAGTCACACAATTGATATGATCTCCAGTGTGTGTTCCCACACATTGGTCTCTTGTTCAAATTTCAGTGTCCCGATTGGCTAAGTCTAAGTGGTGGGAGGGGCTGCTATCTCCTCCTCCTACTGCACACACTAGGACTGCACACCCCCTTTCAGGGGCCTCTCCTGAAGGGACAGCAGCTACTTTCTACTTCATATGGTTTTTATTACTTAGTTGAGATGCTAACATGTTCATGACCTTGGGCAAATGGTTTAACACAGATATATGTGTATCTTATTAGTTTAGATGAAAAGAACTGATTTCTGGGACAACTTTTTCTTTCATCATCAAGTAATGTTAATTTTATGCCCTACATATTGCATCTTTTGCTGATACCAAATCTTTAATGGTTTAAAATGTGGGTCTAGGCCGGGCGCAGTGGCTCACACCTATAATCCCAGCACTGTGGGAGGCTGAGGCAGGTGTATCACCTGAGGTCAGGAGTTCAAGACCAGCTTGGCCAACATGGTGAAACCCCATCTCTACTAAAAATACAAAAAATTAGCTGTATGTGGTGGCGGACGCCTGTAATCCCAGCTACTTGGGTAGCTGAGGCAAGAGAATTGCTTGAACCTGGGAGACGGAGGTTGCAGTGAGCCGAGATTGCACCATTGCACTCCAGCCTGGGTGACAGAGCAAAACTCTATCTCAAAAAAAAAAAGATGGGTCTATAGAATCTTCACATTTTAGAGCTGGAAAGGATCATGGAGATAATTTCCAATGCCTCATTCTAAAGAAGAGTAAGTGAAATTTAAAAACGGTGGATGTGACTTGTCTAAGACCACTTCTTAACCAAGGAGTGGAATTGTTTCTGTCTGATGTAGTCCTTGTGATTGTGTTGGTGTTTAGGCTGTGTCAGAAGTAGAGTGAGGCCAGTAGACTATGACCCTCAAGTCGGCATGGCAGTTGCCTTTTGGCCTAATTGATGTCAGACGTGTTGATGCCCTCAGAAGAGATTCGCTCCTGAAGGTCCCTCCTCTCTTTATCCCTTCTGGGAAAGGATATGGAGATTTCTATCATAGGAAAAGGAAAAGTGGCTGGAAAAGGACATCACCTTCTTTCTGTAACCACATTACTCTGTACGTGCCTTTATTATTCTAATTATCACATTTACCTTCAGGAAGCTTCACAAATCATGTGCAACATAACACTCCCACCCAGAGATTCAGAATTCATTCCCTCCTTTGCCAAGCACCACTGCAAAAAATTGTTACTGTTGGGAATATTTTGTGTCCTTGAGCCGCTTTAGGAAAAAACGTATTGAGAAGCACTGATAAGTAACTCCATATTGCAATCTTCAGGTTGCTTTTGAGTGGGGGAGAGACTCGGGAAAAGCATTGCTTCAGGAAGATTAGCCTGTTGGAAGTATTCTGATTGGTTTGGGAGAGACTGGGAGCAAGGGAACCAGGTTAGGAGAATGTTAGTGTCTAGATATGCCATCATGGACACAGAAAAAAGAAGCCAATTGAAAGAGTGATAATTATTATTTGATTATTGATTGGTTATTGAGGTGGTCAAGACCAAGAAAGTGGCAGAATAGGAAAGCTGGGAGAAAGAGTGGCTTACAAGTGCAGATATGGAATTGGAAATGATGGTTGTACATTCTCATGGTCAGCCTTTTGCATCCATTTCTTTAACGTGTTGGCGCAGGCTTCACAGGGCAGACAACACTCCAAGATGTATATTGTTAGCTGTTTAGAAACTTTGACTTTCTTCCAATCCTGTCAGAAAACCTGTTCACTGCTGCAGGTAAGGTAGGAAGAAAGAGAATATCTCAGGTGGGATCAGGTAATAAGCTAAGAGGATATCTAGTTCTCTGTGGCAGCCTTATCTATTGGAATTACAGAAACCAGCTCACCTCTCTTCTCCTTGTCTCCTCATTAGATAAAAGGAAAGGTTATGGGGGCAGTGGGTGGGAAGAGTAGTTAAGTTACAGGGGTTAACAGAGTTAAGTAACAATGATGATGAGCTCTTCCCCTGAAGAGCCAAGCCTGTGTGCCAAGGTGGGGCTGCTTTTGCTCAGTGTGAGAGAGGGTGTTTCCCCCGTCTCTGGGTAGGAGTAGAAGAACCAGTACCTGCTGAGGTTTCCGTCCTTGCATCTGGATCTTTGTTTTGCTGCCCTTGCCCTCTCTGCCACACCACCCTCCCACCCGCTGCCAGCTATCCTGTGTTCTGAAGTTGCTGCCTGGTACCCCAAAGCCACATGCCAGTTTCGTTTGTCCTCCTTTGACTTGCTCCATTTCTCTGTTTTCTCCACTTTCCCTACTGAGGCTTCTCAGCCTGCTGTGGGAATAGGTATTAAGAAGATAACCATCTGGTGAATCTAATTCAGTCTAAGGTGTGACTTACTGACTGACTGCCAAAGGTGGGTAGGGTTGGAGAGGCATTCACTGAAGCTATTTACATTTAAAAAAACAAGAGCGTCAGTGCAGTGGTAAGAACGGGAAGATAGTTGTAGACATGGTGGCAGTTGACGTGGCTGTTTGCAGGTTGATGATGGAGGGCCTCTGAGATGACAGGAGGTTTCTAGTTTTGAACTTTGGGGAATGCTGTTGACTGATGTGTAAATGCAAAGGAGGAGAAGTGTTTGTAGGAAAGGTAAAACATCTAAGTGGAATACTTAGATAACAATCCAAGTGGAATCTCAGGCACTGTGGTGGTACAGGTTTGGAAGAAAAGATTTTTCTGTATTTTTCCAATTAATACAACTTGATTGTAAAATTAACTGTAGCAAGAAAGGCACCTTGTCTCTAGGCCTCTTTTCCTCACCTCCTGGAGGGAAGGGGCAGTATCTTGGCTCTGATTGTCCCATTTTTTTGGGGGGGACAATTCGCTGAATATGTATTATATGTCATATATTTTACTGGGGTTCTGAGGATGCAAGGATAGGTAAGATGTGGTCCTTAACTTCAAGGAAGTCATATCTTTTGGGTCAAAGGGTAGCAGACAAGGCACAGATAATTACAAAATGGGATGAAGAGTTTGAAAATACAGATTTATCTAAAGTATATGAAGCACCAAGAAAGAGAAATCAGTTTCTGGAGGACTTAATGAGATGTGTTTTGAATGATGTCTTAAAGAATGACTTAGGGCCGGGCGCGGTGGCTCAAGCCTGTAATCCCAGCACTTTGGGAGGCCGAGACGGGTGGATCACGAGGTCAAGAGATCGAGACCATCCTGGTCAACATGGTGAAACCCCGTCTCTACTAAAAATACAGAAAAAAATTAGCTGGGCATGGTGG